TTCAATGCCGAAACATTGGCCACGATGTGCTTTCAATTCTCAGATGATTTACATCAAGGTGACAGCGTAACTTAGGCCATGTAATGATTCGACATGACTCTGTAAGAAAGACTTACCCAACAGACGTAACTAAAGACCTAACTTCAAAACCTCTTATCGCTAACTTCGCACAAAACAGCCCATATCTTCGGTCTAACGCCACACACGACTCTTCTTCAATTGGTAAAAATTTTAAGATAATATGCCTATAAATTGACAATCAAATAATGAGTATGCATCATCATATATAGCTGGGCCCAACACAGCTTATTCGTATTAAATCTCTGAGGAAGAGAGCGAGATTTCCGAGCAGGATCCTTGAAAACTAAGAGCGTTCAACATAAATTGGCCGCGACCGCTTTCAATTCTCGAACAAGACTCTGTAAAAAAACTTATTCGACATTTGTAATCACTGCATCTAATTCTTCGAAATATTCTTCTGCCAATTTTGCACAGAACAGCTTAAACCTTTTTCCTAACGTGACACTCGACTCTCCATTTTAAAAAAATTTTTTTTTTAATTAGAAATTGTTTAAACTTCTACGTGAAGCCTGCCCGCTTCGTGATTTTGATTCATAGGAAGGCATTCATATCATTGGTCAATTTTCGCAGATCTACCAACTACCCCAGCGCAGGGACCCCAAAAAATTTCGAAAACATTAGATCACAATTAATCACAATTTTTATTAAAAATCACATTATTTACCTCCCTAGAGAATCGATTTCATATTCGTGCGATGTGGTTTAACTATTTCGAGTGAGATGTTGTTCTTTTTAGATTTGTTTGCTTTTTTAGCGAAAAAATGGCTAAAAAAAGAAGACTATGTATCACGAATTTGAAATCGTTTTGTAGTAAGGTCTATTTGATCTCTATCTTGATCCTGATCTTTCTTGATCTTGATCATTCTTGATCCCAGAGCTCTGCTACCGAATAACGGTTGTATTTATAAAAAAAAAAGAAAAAAAAAAGGATCATATGGTTATTCCTTTTAAGTTATCTGTACAACTAATCCAAAATTTTCTGATTTTACGTTCTTTTAATAAAATTTTGTACACAAATTCATCAGTCAAAAATACCGGTTTTTAACATGATAACTTGCTTACATATCATTTATGCTTATTCCCCCCAAAAACAATACTTTCGATTTTGCTTTGAAACCCTAGCGTTCTGCCCTTCCTTACCCTGATTCCCAGTTCTTAATCATTACTTTATAATTCCTCATTAAATTATATAATTTTATTCTATTTTTATTTTGTAATAAAATACTGTATATACGAAATAAATAAGAAAAATTGTTATGTTTATAGATCCGGTTTGATCTTTTCATTAAAAAAAAATGTAAATTTATTATATATAATAATAATAAAATCTTTCTGTCTTATTATATATTAAAATAAGAACTAACCATTTTTAGAATACAAGCATTCTGCACATAAATTTTTGATCCCCTTCCTAATATGTACTTTATTAAACTAAACTATACCGTAAAGAGTTATATCGCAAAATCTATATATTTCTGAAACTAGAAAACGAGCACGGATATTTTACACGAACGAACGAATCTGAATTACTATCAATCAAATCCATTATTCTATCGCATAATTATATTAAAGATCAGATTTTTTTGAACAATAATCTAATTGCTTAAAAAACACGAACAATTAGCTTATCGTTCGATCCGGCCAAAAAACTCGTTATTTTTTAATTATATAATTTTTTAAAAAAAGAACAATTAGTTTATCATTCAATCCGCCCAAAAAACTCGTTTTTTTCTTCGTACTATTATTATACATTATTATTATGCGAGATAATATCTACAAAATCATACCATCAGGGCTTAAACGACTATATTAATTTGCCGGACATTTACTGTGCCACTGCTATTGTTTAAAGTAGTTTTTTTGATTTATCAAAATTAGTGTATTGTACATCTTATGTTTACTATACCAGCCAATTAATTTCTAATAAACTATAGATCAAGAATGGTACTTTTGAATTCCGGCATTTCAATATAGTCGTTTAAGCCCTGCATACCATCCTTTTAATTACTATCATCACGAACAACTAGGGTGATCATCAAATCGGTAAATCAAATGATAGTTCCGACTATACATGTGACCGAAACTCCTGGATTTTCGGACATAGTTTTAATTTCGGATTTTATCAATTTTCGGCCCAGGAT